CATTTTCCAAGTGCACCCATTGCAATTTATGGTGCTGGGCCAGCCCTGGTCACCCACACTTTGATTATCTGCTGCACTGACTCTTGCAGCCACTCTTTTCCTTATCTCCATGTTTCACACACGGCTTTCCTACGGTTTCTTCAGAATTCTGCTGCAAAAATAACATCTGAATTCTCTCCCCACAGCTGTGGCCAGTGCTGCCTCACAACAGAGCCAGCAGAAATGTCCCTCTGTATATGAGTGCACCTGGTCCCTCCAGTTCCTCCCTGGGACTCTACCCCTAAAGAAGCTCCCTCTCACTCTTTATTGAAGTAAATTTAAAAACTCGATTTTTCCCTAGAGCCTGTCCTTGACAAGGCCCTGGCAGAAGGGTTGTGGTGTGGATGTGGCACTTTGGGGACATGGTTTAGTGGGTGAACATGGCAGGGCAAGGCTCATGGCTGGACTTGGTGATGTCAGAGGTTGTTTCAGATTTATTGATTCTATGATTCTATGGCCCGTTCTGCTTCCTCACCATGTGCCACTTCTGTAACATTTAATTCCCAGAATTCTTCACTCTTATTTATTCTTTTAGACACAGATGATGCAGCCTAAGAGATAAGTGTGAATATTCCTGCTGCAAAAAAAAAAAAAAAAAGGAGAACATCTGGTGCATAGAAAGCTTTGCTCTGTTCTGATTTGCCATGCTCAGTGTCCTTCAGCAGAGAATGTGTCCAGGAATATCACAGACCTGTGTGCAACAGAAAAGTCAGGTGGAAAGGGGCTTGAGCCAATGAAAGAGTTTTGATTATTGAAAGCTAGCTGAAAAAAATAGAAGAAAAAAATATTGAAACTTTTGAGAGCAATGTGTGAGCCTAAGGCCTTCTGGCAAGGCATGAATGAATGCTGGCAGTGAAGGCAATTATACTTCTGTGTTATGAAATTATCTCACAATGGCATTTTGAAACTTTGATGGCATTAGAGAAGGTTTTACCATTCGGATCAGTCAAGATAGTCTATTATTAGTTCATAGTTTTTAGATAAATTCTACATCATGGAAGATACTTTTTATAAGGAAAGTGAAATCAAAATAATTAATCAGATGCTGTAGGGAATTTCTGTACCAGAAAAAAAAACATCACCATCACAACAGGATTATTATATTTTTTTTTTTGTTATTCAAGTCTTCTTGACTTGTTATAGCTCTAAGCTCTAACAAAGGCTTAGTGTGAACTCTGCCATTTCCAGGTAAAAAAATCAGCGTGTGCTTGTGCTGTTCTGTACACATGCTGAGTACAGCACTCCCCTACTCGTTTGCATTTTTTTTCTTTAAGTAGATGAGCATCATTCAGACTCATAGTGACCTCCAACTTTTATAAATCCCCCTCGGATTTTTAGTTGATTACAGCTGGAATAGAGTTTTAGTAACAAGTGCTTAAATCTGTGAGCCTGTAAGGTCATAGGTGCTTAAATGTGAGATTTGATTTGTCATTGCCCTGAGACTTGTGGCATTTCAAAATCCCACCCTTGGGTGTCAAATCTGACGTTAGAAGAAGCCTGGTTCTGAAAACTGTATCCTTGTTTATATACCTTGAGTAAGCTGGGCTTGAAAAACTGAACTATTTCAGGAGCACTGAGGAATTCAATATCAGCATTAGTTTTATTTAAATGCTGGGAACTGGATTGTAAGAATCTAACTTTGTGACCTCTGAGAAAAGAATAAGAACCAGGCTATATATTTTTAAGGCTTCTTAAAACAATCATGAATAGTTGATGGTTTTGAATATCAAATTTGTAATCAAGAGCCTCCTGAGTCAGTGGTTAGCATTAAAAAATGCTCTTCTCTTTATGTGTTGGGCACAGATCAAAAATATGTTTCACTGTTTAAGATATTTTAATTTTTTTACTTGTGAAATAGTTTGGAGGCAAGAATTTCAGTTGAAAAAATTCCATTGAAACTTTTGCTTTTGAGCTTTAAAAGCCAACAGTCAACATTCATTCAATGTTTGGGTTTTATTCCTCTCCTCAGTCTTGCAAATAAAAGCTTCACAATCTGACCATCTCAATGTGAGGTCCTAAATTGCCATTTTAAGCCACAGCAGTGGTATTTGCAAAAATATCCTTTTTTTTTTTTTTTTTTTTTTTTTTCTCTGCAATGGTGGCAAGCACATATTTTTCCACACTGGCTAGCTCCCCATGCAAACTGGTATTTAAAACTTATTCAGCTTTCCAGTCCACACAGCAATGTTGCTAGTGCTGGTGTGAATTCTTGCAGTATTTGTACTTGCTTGTAGAACAGCTTTGCTTTAAGCAAAGCAGAAAGCCAATTACTGTTACTTATTTATACATTTGCTTTTAGGTATTAAAATAAATTTCTAGAAATGCCAGGCTAAAGCCAGTAGTAAGACCTCAGAATAACCCAGTCATGATTTATATATACATACTGATATAGAAATGACAAAATTTCTTTTCTTCTGTCTTCCCTTAGAAACATTTCTCCCTGACAGGACTTGCAGTGCAGCCAATAAAGCCCTCAACACCCTGGGAGGGGAGTGGTGAAAAAATTCTAATTTTATTCTAGTTTTCCTGTTTGCACTTCCAAAATCAAGCAGTTTCCTAGACAGTCACTAGAACAGCCCACTTTTTTTTAATGTTAATCCTCAACATGCTGTGGGTGTTTGTGCTGCTGCTCCTGGGGGGACTCAGGTGAGCAGCAGGTCCTGCTCTCACTGGTGTCTTGTGTCTCTATCTGTGCATTGATCTTGAAATATCTCTTCAAGGCATTTTCAAGGGGAAGTGAGAGCTCTGCCTCTTGCCAGGCAACTCTATTGTGAATTAGAATAAATAAATTCTTACACCAAGTTTGGTGGTTTTTTAAAAAATTATTTATTTATCTATCTATTTATTTTAATTTTTTTTTGTGTGTGTATTTGTTTATTTTTTTTTTTTTAATTTTTTCTTTATTTATTTTGGGTGGGTTTTTTTTGTTGTTGTTGTTTTTGGCCTGTGATGGTAACAGGTAAGACATCCTCCTCTCTTTATCTTCACCCATGAGATTTTTTTCCATCTTATTTTCTCCCCAATCCTGCTGAAGTGGGGGAGGAAGAGAGTGCTGGCAGCCAGCCTAGGTCAACCCACCACACTGTTTTAGTTGCCACAATTGACAATCAAGTTTTATCTTCTATGGAAAAAAATGGAATACTGTAGAAAGAATAACTTACACCCCACATTCTTGTGCTCTGATGGCTTACCTGAGAAGAAAATGATTTTGAACTCTGCCTGATAAATCTGAGTTTATTTTTACACAGAATTCCTTTCACACTCTTGACAGTGCAGCACACAGTACTGTACATACAAAAGTTTTAGTCTTCTTTTAGTAAAGTATAAGTAATCTTCAGATAGTTGAAGAAGAAGTTAAATTGGTTAAAAAAATATTTATAGACAAACCACAGAATGCTGAGAAAGCCTTTATAATTGTTGGATTTTGTCTTTAAATTGCATTCAAGTTTATTGTGCTATCTCTTTCATAGTGCAGTGCCTGATTATTCCTGAGCTGAGAATGTGCAGGATTTCAAAAGTTTCTGAAATGTGCTTTTGACTCCTGTTTAAGCAGATCATCCTATTAAGCAAGCAAAGGTTGACCCCAAGAATATTCTAAAAGGGATAATATCACATTAGTAGGGGGAAAAAAACACCTACTGATGTATGAAAGGCTTCATTTTCATTCTCCAGGACATCACCAATAGCTGGGATATTTTTTTTTTCTATTTTCAATCTTTTCCCCTCTAACATAGGAAAAAAAAAATCCCTGGTACCTTAGCCAAAATATTTAAATACCATTAATTTCAAAACACTGATCTGTGCTCCTTTTGCAGCTCCTGAGTGGTGCTGGAAAGGGGTGGAAAAAAGGAAACCAACAATGGTTTTCATTTGTCACCCTGAGCTGTGACTCTGCCCCTCCCTCCCTCATTCTCTGAGTCTCTGAACTTAGAGCATTGTGAAACTTTCATTGCTGTGCAGGCTTGTTATATTAGAAAAATTGTTCCAAAGAAAGCAACAATTATGACATAAGCACATCTGGCTCTAGCAAATTATTCTTTATTAAGCTTTCATTTAATTACATGTGCTGAAAGGTCTGCTTTTGATTACTGTAATTTTTTTTATTTGTCCATCTGAATGATAGTAATGTTGGAAATTACATACAAACCACCTGGCTTTTTTTCTCACTAATAAGGCAAAGTTTATATAGATCTATGTTAGAAGAGGGATTAGGATCTTCCTTGTTCCTGGCAGAAGAATTATTCATGACTCTAATTCAAGGTGAGGCTTTAAGTTTGCTCACTGGAAACAAATTGGACCAAACTGGCTTTGTTCAGTAAACACCTTTTATTGGTTGGGATTGTTTATTTTAATATAAAAGTCTATGTTTCAGTTAAACTTTTTGAAAAGTTCCACTAGAATTTTTTTTTTGTGCTTTCATTACTACTTACAGGAATTTTTAAGGCCTAGATTCATTATTAGAAGATATATCACTGTACAGAGAGATGGAGACATACCTTTTGGCTATTTTAACTTTTCCTTTGTGTAGGAAACTATTCTTGTGGCAGCTCCCACTAAAGTTTCTGGAATTAGTGATTAATTTCTTGCTAAGAACAGAAAGACCTGGATTATTATTGCTTCTGACAGGGGCTTATACCTCCTTTTCATAAAAAGCCTTATAATTTTACCAATTTTGTTTTTAATATTCAGGCACAGTGTAATTTTTTGCTCAACACCATGACCATCATTAGCAAGAAAGAAAAAAAAAATCAAGAAAAATCAGCAAAAGTCAAATTGGTGTTTGGGAGTTTTCCAGACTTTGTTTTTTCTCTTTTTGCAAATAGCAGAAAGGGAAGCCACAAACAAGAGCTGAAAAGAAACCACCAGTGGGAGAAAAAAAAAAAAAAAAAAAAAAAAGTATATTTACAGCTTGTTTCTTTAGGAATATTGCAGGAATATATGTATATCTTCTTGTCTTCCAGCAACTGTATGCAGCTCAGCTGGCAAGCATGCAAGTTTCTCCTGGAGCCAAAATGCCATCTACTCCACAGCCACCAAATACAACAGGGGCACTTTCACCCACTGGGATGAAAAATGAGAAGAGAGGGACCAGCCCGGTAACTCAAGTGAAGGTATTTTTCAGTAAAGAAAAAAAAAAAAAAAAAACCTGATATTTGAGAAGGACAGCAAAAACAAATGATCTCTATAATTGCTTTACAGCTGGAAGGTGAAGCACAGTCCAGTTCTTTAATATTCAAGTGAAAAGTTCCATTTTAGTGCTGTGTTATCAGGGTAGGGAAGGGAAGAGAAAGCACTTGTTTCCAAAAATACCAGGCCTCCCTCTCCCTACCAGAGGCAGCACAACAGATTCATCAGTAAAATGTGATATTTCCAAGATTTCAGTTTGTAATCTGCTAACACGCAGCTATGGCATCCATTTCATGAATTGTCTCACATTGAACTCTTGAATATCTCCAAATGTGATGCTGGCTTATATTGTCAGGGTAAGACACAGAGACTGCAGAGCTTCTAATTATTTTACAAACCTCTTAGCTGTACTTAATTCTACAATTTTGGAAAAGCCTGCCATAAAAATAATATGTAAGTCAGGGCTCTGGGGAAAACATTGTGTGGCTGCAGATTGATTTGACTTTTGCTGATTTCACACAGCTGCTGACAAGCACGCTGCTCCTCGCTGCTTTTTGCACCATTGCTCAGAGCTGCTTGTTCTCACCAACACTGCAAGCAGGCAGCTCCAACATGGCATTTGCCAGGAGCTTGGAATGGGCACTGTGAAACCCATGGAGCAGCCTCAAATGGAAAAAAAAAACAAAAAACCAAACCCAAAAAAACCCAAACCAAACCAAAACAACCCCCCCCCAAAAAAAACCAAAACAAAAAAGCCACCCCAAAACAAAAAAACAAACAAACAAACAAAAAACCCAAAAAAACAAACAAAAAACCAGAACAAAACCCTCCCCAACATTCAGATGTTTTACCCATTTGAATGGTAGTGCTGCTATAAATGCTGAACAATTAAAATAAATCTAAAGGTGGCATCTAGTGGCTTTGTGGGGGAGGGAGGGAGAGAGAGGATGTGTTGGGTTGTTTTGTGTTTTTTTGCTGGCTGCTAACACCTTACAGGCAAACACTCCTTAGCTTCTAAGCAGCCTGAAAAGATTTTACTCACTTGAGGTAGTGGTTTCTCTTTTTTTTTTTTTTTTTTCCCCCCCATATTTTTGACGTGAGAGTAAAATATCATTTGTTTTTTCATTATCATCAATCATCGTAGTAAAGTGTGGGGGAGTAGATATTTCTGCCTGGGCTGATAAATTTCCATGACACTTTTTTGCTAGGCTGAGAGTACTAATAAATAAAAAACTATTCCATTATGGCCAGATCTAACATTTATTTAGCAAAGCGTTCACTTTACTTAGCTGTAGATGTGTATTAGTCTAATATTTTACCTCTTGTAATCCAAAGCCAGGTTTGAGAGCAGTCAGGGAAATTTACTGCAGAGTTTGCTACGGTCAATACAGGAGCCACCAAAAGCAAAGAACAACTGTTCCAGCAAAGTTGCCACAGCACACTGATACCTCACACCAGTGATTTATGGCACTGAGAATACACTGCTGGCTACTTTAATGTGAAAAAGTAATTCTGGGAGAGTGAGAGAGCCAAATGGACCCACACCAAACCAAACCTTTAGTGTATGAATCAAATTTTCCCTGGTTAAATTCGAGCACATATCTTCTTGAACCAAGGCCAGTGCTGTTCCAGGTTTGTGGCCAGCTGAGTCCTATTACAAAATTGACCACATGCAAATTCTTGGGGGTTTCCCTATATAATGTAACTCGAATGGACTGAAGTATATGTTAATAAAGTTGAAGCCTTTTTATGATTATTTTTATTAAGCACCCTACTGCATTCAGAATGTTAAAGATGAGCTACAAGTGCTTTGTGTGGACGAATACCAATAGTTAATGAAGAAATTATTAATACAAAAGCAGTACCTACATTCAGTCTCTGCAGATTGTTCTCTTTGTTAGGTGTGACAGCTTTGATGGTCATGCATTGCTTAACAAATCCTCTGTATTTTCTCTGCTTTTAAGCAGTTTGTATAAACTACAATGCAATTCTTTTGATGGAAGTCAGATCTTTCAAAAAGTAATGATAGGTTTTCCTTAAGTCAGTGACCAGAATGTTTTCCAGTTTTTTGGTTGTCTTACAGAAATGACAATGCTGTCCGTGCAATACAAACAAACAAGTTCTGGCAGTGTTTCGAGTTCTTAGTAAAGTATTTAAAAATGGAATGCTGTAGCATAGATTCCTATGTGCACATGTTCACAGCACCTACCCTGGCAAACTTCACAGTCTGAATGGGGACTCTGAACTCTTGGAAAAGTCTGTGTAAAAAGTTTTGTGCCTGTGCAGGGAAAGAATGGAACTGTCATGAGGTTTTATGGGAAAAGTTTAAAGCTGATGAAATGGTGGCATTATAAATACCTGTTTGTTACATTTTCCTGTTTAATGCATTCTGTGTGACCAGATGTATTCTGCTAAATCACTGCTTGACAGTAAGGAGAATGGAAAAGATGAGATAATGTGATGCATTATTGTATTTTGACATAATTCTAAGCTTCGAGGTGATCAGTGCAGTGTTTTAAAATATGAACAATCTCTTACATCCAGCATAATTCTGCTCTGGGCATATTTTAAATGAGAGATCTGTCTTACTGGGCTCTTTAATGACAGAAAATCACCATTTCACAGCTTTCCAAGTGCTCTCTCTTGCTTAATGTATTAAGTGGAAGGATCAAGCTCAAAGAATGGGAAGAAGGTCTCACTGCAAATGTTTATACTTATCAAAGAAATTAATAGCTTGAATAAGTCTTCTTCAGAAAGTTGAGACATTTTTAGGTGGACCTGTTCTCCAGCACAGAAGCAAAGCATATGTCAGACACAGTTTCTGCCACAGTTGCAAATGAAAAGCATCAAATCATACAAAGGTGCTGATACTAGATTTACAAACCCTTAAAAAATGTTCCTTGTCTTAATGCAAATAAAATACACGAATATACTAAAGATTAATTGCAGCAAAAATAAGTACAGAACACGGGAATAATACAGAAGCATCAAACAAGGAGCAGAATAGCAGTTATGTGGAAAATAGTTTTGATTTTTGCATAATCTGTCAAAAACTTGGCATTTTAATGATAAAATATCATAAAGTTAACAAAATTCAATAGTAGAAAATTAAGTATTTTTAAATGCATATGGTATGTAGTCACTGCCCTAATAGTAAAGGAATTTGAATTCAGTGAAATTATTATCTCCTGTTTTGAGGGATCAGCAAAGATTATTTCACTAAACAAAACATGCACTCTGAATTAGATGCATGGAATGTATAAGCTAGCAGCAGCTCTAAATGTGGGCCAAAGAGCTGTCAGGGTTTCCAAATGATTCTTTCATAGTAGTACTTCTGATTCCTTAATTTCTAATACATTTAAAAATAAGCTACATAACTTATTTTTATAGTGCCAGGAACTTTTCAAATAGAACCAGTGCAAAAGCATTACCGAGCTGCTGGAAATTTTAAATAATTCTTTGTAAATGCCCTAGGTTAATTCAGATCTCTGAAAACACATTAGGAAATTAAGCCGTAATGTGAGCTAATTCAAATTTTAATTTGGCAAAAAGAATGATCCAGTCACATAGTTAATGTAAATAAGAAGCATAACACAGAGAAATTAATGAGGTTTCCTTTCGTTGAATCTTAAAGGAGGCAGATAATTAGCTTCTTTTGTTATTATTGCTGCAGAATGTGGCATTGTCTTCGAGGTGTAAAGCAACCGCTGCCTGCAGAATGATGCGTTCATTTGTCTTTTTCTAAACAGTTATTTACATTCAACTCTTGCAGGATGAAGCAGCTCAGCCCCTGAACCTCTCAGCCCGACCCAAAACAGCTGAACCTGTCAAATCCCCGACATCTCCAACACAGAATCTCTTCCCAGCCAGCAAAAGCAGCCCAGTGACAGTGACAAGCAAGAGTGGCATCCCCAGCCCTCTCAGTGGCTCTCTGGCAAGAGGATCCTCCTTAGGTAACTGCCCTGTCCTGGGAAAAGGACAAAATAAATATTTTCTGCATGAAATTCCAGCCTGAGCACACTCATTTCTGGGTTAACCACATGCTTGGGTGTATATTTGTGTTTAAAATGGAAAAAAATAATAATATATATATATAGTGAAGCTTTTCAAAGAATGCTCGATTACCAAAGTTTTACAGGAGTATCCAAAGAGATTTATCAGTGTGTGACAAACACGGGAAAGAAATTCATGATGTGGGGAATGCATACAAATATACACAGAAGTAAATAAAGACAGATGTATAAAACTGGTAAAACAGGTTTGTGTGAATATCTCTCCTAAAGGCATCTACTGGGTGTATACACACAAAGTTAACTTTTAAATTTTGATTTCTGGTTAAAAAAAATCACAAATTATCTTTATTATTATCACCAGATAATAAATAGATTTTTTTTTTTAAAAAAAAAGGAAAAGCAAGAAGCCAACCAAGTTAAGGTAATAATTGAACAAAATTTTGAAAATTTTTTTTTCACCCATCTGTCAAGATTTTGTTGATTCATATGGTTACAAGTAGGGAGTTTTTGACCTGTGTTCAAGATTCTTTAAGCTTATTAAGTGATGAAACAAAATTGGTCTGAAAACTATGTATGAAGATTACTTTAACCAGTCAAGAAACAGAATCAAGAGCTACAAAATGTAGATGATCAGCCCTAAAGTTCAAATAGTAAATTTTAACAGTGACTAAATACTTACTACAGACCACTTATTCACAATCTGTAGCTCAAGTGTACTTGTAAAATATATAGAAACACTTGTGAATAATGAATAGATATGTTAAATACATATATTAAATATATAAAAATTATGGGTTTTTTCCATTCCCAAGCACTTGGGAACATCATGATCTCTGACAGATATTTTCTGCAACTGTCTAGATACTCTACCTGTCAATTTACTTGCAGCTCTCACTGTACTGTCTTACATCAAAAAATAAAATATCAATCTGAAGTCATAGACCATTCAAGAGAAAGGAACACAGAAGGCAAATAGTGCCTAAGGTATAAATATTTTTCATGCAAAATCATAAAAAAAATTTGTCTCAGTCCTTAAGTATAAAAATACCAGAAGACATTACCAAAAAATCAGCAAGCCATGTAGGAGCTTTGCTACATTTCAAAATAAATATGAATTATTACTAATCTAAATCTCTTTAAAAATCATGCAAATATATTTCCCAGCTTCTTTAGTGTCCTGCATGGAACTTAGTGGCCAAAATGGTTCAGAGCATTGCAAACTTTCCTCAGCAAGAACAACTTGTTGCCTTATAATACATTATTTTTCTATTTTGGAGAGGGATCCCTTGATGGGATGGGATGAAAACATCACAGTTTAAATCCCTTCTTACTTAGGCCATAGTGTTAAATTAAACATTTGGTTCCCAGGATAAAGTGTGAGAAACCCTTCATCATTTTTATTTTAAAATAATGCAAGGTTCTTCGAGGTTGAATTTGCTGTGTGGTACTCAGCTGAACTTCAGAGAAATGAAAAGAATATAAAAATTTTCATTGAAGGTTAATCCAAATTTTAGCCTGTTTGGGTTAAAAGTTTTTTCCTGTTCAGAGTAATAGAAAGAAAACTGCTTTTTTCTCTACTGGTTTAAAGATTTATACTCATGTTATGGTGATAGTGGCCTTTGTCCCCAAAAAGTAAATGTGAGTGCTCTTTCTGAAATGGAAATCCAAATGTCTCGAGTGATGGTTCTCCCTATAAAAAAATTCTAAGAACTGACATGGAATTTCATGGCCTAGTAAATGAGATTCTTTCCCTTTGTTCATTTCATTAATTATTTTTAATACCTCAAAAGGTTTCCAGTTTCAGAATACTGTTGTCCTGAACACATATTTAAATTTGAGTCCATGAGTATGCTCACATAGCTCCACACCAGCCTACCCCAAGACCTCAGTGGTTTTATTTCTAACAGCAAAAGAAGTGCATGAGTTTCTCAGTCCCTTCAGTAGAGTAATTCAGCTTTCAAACACACAACAATTGCCACTTCTCCTGCAGATGTTGGTTGGGTGCAGCTCTAAGAGTGTAAGAGCAGAGTTCTTAACCTGGATTCCAATTTAGATAATGACCTAAATGAAATGTGTTCTCTGTTTACAGATATCCTTTCCAGTCTTAATTCACCTGCCCTATTTGGGGACCAGGACACAGTAATGAAAGCCATTCAGGAGGCCAGAAAAATGAGAGAGCAAATCCAAAGGGAACAGCAGCAGCAACAGCAGCCTCATGGTGTTGATGGAAAATTGCCCTCCATGAATAACATGGGTCTGAACAACTGCAGGAATGAAAAGGTAATGTCTCCCATTTCCCCACTGTCTGCCACTCACTCTTCTCTCCCCTTCTCATTTGGATATGAAATTTCGTTTTTGGAGCCTTTAGCCATCTCTGATCCCATGTTAAAGGCACCTTGTCCCTGGGCAGTGCTCCAGACTTCTCCAGCTTTACACGGCAGCATCACACCCACCATGCCCACAGGTGACAAAGCTCTAAGTGTGCACATAGGAACGTGGAAAAGGGGGAAAATGGAAGCTTCCATTGCTCGTGGTCACTAGATTTTGAACAGGGGTTTTGAGAATGGCTGGACTGATAAATGATGTCATAAAAGGCCAGTTCTGTACTGGTGTAGTTGAATATTGCAGTGCCAGTGTACGAATTGAGTGTGCTTGAATCTGTGGTTCAGGTGCAGCACTCGGGCTCAGAACATTTGTATCTCAGCTGCAGTAGGAAATTAGGGATAAAACATTCATTGTTGGATCACTGAAATGAGGTGGCACACTGGAGTGAAAGGGTAAATGAGAGAAAGTGTTGGGAAAACGGGACCAGCACTGGACTGAGCAGGACATGATCCACTTACAAAATAGAAACCTGGAAATGTAAGGAACACTTTTTATCACACTTGCTCTAAGGACTAGTCAGAGGACAAAGAAGACTCTTGGAAAATCCCCTGGACCTGTGTTGTCCCATTGTGTGACCTTTCCATGGTCATTTTTAGGTCTCTGCAGGTGCAGCAGAGGGTCTGCAGGATCTTCTCTCTTGGCTTCCCTAGAGGTGCCACGGGCTGCACAAAATGCAGCACAAAAGTTGTTTTTCACCACTGACACAAAATCAGAGACCACAACACTTTTTCCAGTCACCACACGAAAGGGAAAAGCATTTTCTCAGTAATCACTAGAGCTTTGGCAAATAGAACGTTTGTGATGCAATTTATTAATGAATGGAAAGAAAACTGACACATTAATTAATTAATTGTTAAAACGGTCCAGAACAACAGGTAGTTCCAATGCCTATAAAAATTCTGTGATTCTCTATATCAGAGGGCAGGGTGGGTTCTTTACTTCTTGTGTGAGGGAGGGAAGATTACACACACAAAGAATAACAGGAGTTTTGGGTCCAGGCTGAGGATAAGACTCAGCAGAATATTAACTGTAACTTAAATGATGAATTTGATAACATTCTGATCTTTTCTCAGCCCACAAGGGAATGCTTGGGTGAGTGTTTTGTAGCAAGGCACAGAAAGACAAAGAAATGTCACAAACAGACCTATTAAAGATTGTCATTCACCTTTTAATTACATTTTATGTTTTTGCATGATAGTTTCTTTCTTTTTCAAAACAAGTAGTGTCTGTTAAAAACAGATTGGTTAAAATGTTGCTACACAGGATAACCAACGCTTTTCCAGTTCAGACTCAGTGTCTAATAAATATATATGTCTGCTAGTATTAAAGTCATAATTGAAGACCTAATTTAATATAAGTTGATATTATTAAAAATATAGAAATGAATAACTGATCAAGCAGGCTGTATTCAAACACTCTAATTGTAAAGTCAGTGTTTGTCTTAAGTAATCAAGAGGCAGAATACTAAAGCCCAGGTTATAAAAATATATTAAAAAAAATCACATACATGATCAGTATTAAGAGTTTATAAAATTATGCTTATTTTAAAATTTATTTTATGAGTTTCAGTGGCTTGACATTTAAAAAATATCTGATATGCTATAAGGGCTATTAAAAGAATTCTTAACATTTGATTTCACTTTGAAAAATAAGCATAAAAATGGCATCCACTTACTTATTGAGTCTCTTCCCTGTGTATTTTCAGTATCATGTTTATGTCTTATATTGAATATAACAAGTTCCTATTTCATCTTTCACCCTTTAGAGCAGAGTCAGTAAATATTTCAGTGAATAATCTGAAATTTCTATTTTGTGCTGGTTACTCACAATACACGGATTGATGCACAGCTTCCAGATTGAGGTTATACATCAGGCAGTCTGAGCAAAAAAAAATAAAAAAATAAAAAAAAATTCTTTTACTTGCAAATATAGCAGAGTGAATCAGAACTCTTTAACAGATACAAACAACATCATTCTCAAATGCCATCTTTTGTGAGGAGACTTTTCATGGACTTTTTATTTTTTTAAAGCCTACGAATGAAGCAGCAGCAGGGAGATCTGCTGTTGAGTCTCTTAGTGACCCTGTGTAATCCTGCTGGCTTTATTTATTGTAGCAGGTACTAGAGGACCATTAAGGCAGGAAAAGCTTCAAGTTTTGTGCTCTGGTTTTACCTTTGGTGTGCTGGTCTGTTTTCCTTGCCCCACAGACGTGAGAAAAGGCAGGGGTTGCAAAAGAAGAGGATATAAATCAGTCATGGTCAATGGTGCTATATCCCCACTCTTATCCTAAAGAAAACAAAAGTATTAATTCGGTCATGGATACTAAGAAAAGATGGATTTATATTTTATAGCAAGTATAAAATGCATTAAAACCAGAAGCATCTTTGTACAAACAAAATTCTAGAACACTTTTCTTTCCCCCTTCACCCTCTGCCTTTCAGGTTTTTTTATTGTGATCTACTTCTTTTACTCTAAAAATGATGGGCAGGATGATCAAAATGGAGGTGGGGGAACAGGAATGCTAGATCACTTTAATTAGAGAAACATAATTTGGAAATAATTGTATGCCAAGAAAACTGCATATAGTTTCTGTCATAATCCCAGTGAAGCTTTGATAACAGTTGCAATTTTGGATTGGTTTCTTTTGAAGAATCAGGACCCTGTGTTTTCAGGACCAAATTTTCAGAAATTGGCTTCAGGTAATTAGACTTGTAGAAATGAGTAGCTGGAAGCTGGCACCAGAAAAAGATGACAAATTAATTGCCTGCAGCTGGTTAAAAAAAAAAAAAAAAAAGCTATTGAGTTCTGGTCAGTTACTGGTCTTTAAGTTCAGATACTTGGTAATAGTTTGTTGTGCAAATGATTGAGCTCACAAAATTATGTACATAACTTCAAAGCCTGGGCTTAGGCCTCTTTGAAAATGTGTCATTTAAATCTCAGAAAGCTTTGTATTTGGTTACAGACACAGAATTGAAAATTGCTTGTGTTCATATTCTGCTGTTCAAAAAATAATAATAATATTAAAAAAAAAAATCTACAAAGCTTTCAAAGTGCTCACAGAGATTCACCCATCAGAAAGACCATTACAAAAAAATCCAGCCCAACTTTGTCATTTGCCAAAGCATTTAGGTTAGTTTATAGCTCTGAGCTGACAGCATCCTGTGGAGTTATCTGGGTTTGGCTGTGGGTTAGGATGGGGAGGAGAGTCAGAAGGGTAAAATTAGAAAATTTTCGGGTAGATTAGTGTATTCTATTACAGAATAGAAACACTGGGAAAGGGCAGTTAGGAAAATGAAGAAAATAATACACAGAGCTTTTCCTGTGTGATAGAAGCAAAAGTAAAATCATACCAAAAATTCATCTTTGTTTAGAGGATTTGACTTTTTTCCAGTCAAGCCAAGTTCACCTTCAACAAAAAAGAGTACTTTAACAAAATCTGCATTGCTTCAGCTACTTGTATTTATTTTAGTATTTCAAACTACCGTCATTGCCTAGAAGATTTGCTTTGATTTAAGGCTTTAAATGAATCTGAAAATGTTATATAATTTATAAGATAACTGACATTATTTTAAAAAGAATCAGATCCTATCTTTTTTTGTACATAAAGCAGGAAAACGCTGACAAAGATGCTTCAGAAAATATTTGTATAAAAAATATAGGTAGAGCTGTGATTGGGGAAAAAATATATGAAGTCAAGGTAGAATAAATGCAAAACCAATTACCACAACATATTTGTATCCTCTCATCCCCATTTTCGTACCATGAAGGATATTCATTGAGATCTGAGAGTAAGCAGAATTTAATATAACATTTTTATGTTTATATTCCATTCTTACTCTTTTGTAGATTTTCAGACAACTGTGTATTTGCGGTAGGAAAGCAGAATTAGACCCCAAAATAAATGACATGAGTCATTGCCTACTTCCTGGGAATCATGGTTCTTTAGCACCTCTTCTAATGAGCCTTTTATTCCTTTCTTATCTCTAAATCAAAGTTTCACAAGTTGAATCCACGTAATTTATCCCAATATAGACCACAGTTTGTATGCAAAATGTGCACATTCTTAAAACCGTGTATTGTTCACCCCTGGAGATTGATATTACAGTCTATTGATCAAATCCATATTTAGGCACTTGCATTTGACCTGATGAGCCATAATTGCCCTTTGGAGATGTTCCACTGCCGAATTTAGGGACTGTTCAGTGTGGGGATTATTGAGACAACAGAGTGCAGCAACTCCTGGAGCTGTTACACTTCATCACGTGTGTGAAGCTCCTGCACACAGGTACAAACTTGTACAAAAAAACCCTTCAGGAAGCCTTTGTGGGAAAAGTCACCAGTCATGCACAATCTGCAGTGGCTCCAGCATTGTCCTGGTTTGGCTATTTTTTTTATTTTTTATTTTTTTTTCCCTAAAGGCAAGCAGTGCTGCATGATGCTGCCTTCAGATTCTTGCCAGCTTTTTTCTCCCCACACATTCGGCATGAGGGGCAGGAGGAGTGCAGGTGCAGGAGGTGTCTCAGCCACAGAGAATCACCTTGTAACCTACATCCCTGCTATTAGTCAGTGCCCAACTCTGTTAAAAAAACCCCAAACATAGTTAAGCAAATTCTTTTCCACTTCATTCTGCGTGCAATTCTCTTTTTCCTTTTACTGTAAGGAGTCCTGACCACTCTTAAATTTAGAACGTGAATTAATTGGTCATAAGAGCCTTGTGGATTTCTTAGAAATCTTTATGAATATGTGGTTTAGATTTGCAGGTAGTGATCTCTTTTCATTTCCTTTTTTCTTTCAAGAAAAACTTGTATTCTTTTTTTTTCCCTTTAGTTTCTTTTAGCAGACTATTGAGAACTGGTAAATAAGAGATTTCAGTCTGCAGTGAGACATGACAGAAA